AAGCAGGTTTTAAATTTGAAAGTATTGGTATTTGTTGAAGAATTAGAAAAAATTATCTTATGAAGATGATGATAGAGGTTAAAACTGGGTTTATTTTATATCCAGATTTATTTAATTTTAAAAATCTGAAACCGTAAATTTTTTAAATTTTTTGATTCTTTTTTATCTATAAATATATGATATTATAAAGAAAGTGATCTTTGCTATATATGATTTGCTTATCTCGTTAATGAAATAATAAATTTTTAAATTCAAAAATTTGTATTTTAGTATCAGATCTATCGAAACTTTTGCTACCTATCGAAACTTTCGCAATTTTGCTTTTAATAAAATATATGGCAAAATGTTTTGATGGGTTTCAATTTCAATGCTTGTCAAAACTTCCGGATTTTGCCTGGCAACCTTAAGTGAGTGGTAATATATTAATTTTTAAGACTAAAATTGCTTATCTTTATCTTTCTGATTGGTACCTAATCTCTTTAAATTTGATAACTATTTGTTGTTTAACCAAACTTTATAATTTAACATAACTTAGCCTGACACAAACTAACTGCAAGTCCATTAGTACAGGTAATGCAACAAATATTTAGATTAACTTGGCTTAGCTTAGGCTGATTTTGTGGTTCAGCATATAACTAAATAATAAAAAATAAATTAAATTATTTTTATTTTGTTTTGTTTTGTTACAAAAAAGTAACAATAATAGGTTTAAATTAATCTAAAAAATTATCCATTCATTACTTTTGAAGAATCATGTTAACTTCTGTCTCCTATTAAATAATAGAAAGAGAAATCTAAATGCTTTTTTATTAAATTGCATAATTAATGTTAACAATTTTTTTGTTCAAATTTTATTCAGAAAGAATAAATCAAATAATTAGTTTAATTTACTGCTAAAAAAAAGAAATCTTTTTTAAATTGGATTTCCCTTTATAATTTTATTTTTTAGAATAATAAAATATGGTACATCAGTATAAATCATAAACTACAAAAAATATTAGTAATTGACTATAATATTGAGTTAATGTAATTACATATTTATTTTGAATGTTATTAAAATTAAATTATGATGGTCACTATTTTTATAGCCAAAATTGTAATATTAGTAAAGTTTATTTAATTATAATTTATTTAATTTAATAGATTTAAAACACAATAAAATATATTTTAATCAAAGCTGTTATCTTATAATTCAAAAACAAATTAGTGATTTTTTATGATTTCATTGTGTTTTTATTCGTAAAATTTTATCATGATAAAATTAATTTGAATTTAATAACCAAATGTACGTAAAGTTTCATAGAAGTGATTTTATCCTTCGTACCATTGAATTAACTAATGTCTTTATTTAAATATTAGGTTATTTTATCAGAAATTTAAATATCAACATTAGATTACTAGTAAATTAATTTTTATAAATTTAATTCATGATTTATGAAATTAATTATAACATTATATAGAATCTATTATTTGAAGCATTTCCTCATGTAAGGTCCAACAATTATTTATCATAGGAGATTTAATTCTTGAAGAGTTATTATCAATATACACTTTGACGTTCATTAAGTAAAGATAGAATAAATACCTCTATATCTTTAATAAATAAAGAGATCAAATCAAATAAATATCAACAAGGAACAGACAATTATTAATTCATATCATTATTTTTTAAATATTCATAGTGGATTCAAGTGAAAATTTATAAATTTTGACTAATTCGTTGTAAGAATACTTGTGTTCCAAAACGATTGAGTCGACTATAGTTGCAAGGCAAAACCTTAAATTCATTTTGGCAAAAGTTAAAACTTTTCAGTAATTATTTTGACAGTTTCGATAGGTTTCAATAGGTTTTAACAGTTTCAATGGGTTTTGATAGGTTTTGATGGATCTCAAAAGTTTTGACAGTTTTGACAACTTTGCGAATTTGACGGTTTAACAAATTTATTGTAAGATAATATAGAATATAAAAACGATTTTTGGTTTTTTTGCTTTTTATTTTAAATTAGAACAATGTTTTTCAAAATAATACATTATTTATCAAGCAGGTTTTAAATTCAGAAGCACTGGTACTTGTTGAAGAATTAGAAAAAGTTACCTTATAAAGATGATGATAATAGCTGAAACTGGGTTTATTTTTATGTCTAGATTTATTTAATTTTAAAAATTTGAAACCATAAATTTTTTAAATTTTTTTCTATCTATAAATATATAATATTATAAAAGAAAGTGATCTTTGCTATATACAATTTACTTATCTCATTAAATGAATATTTTTAAATTCAAAAATTTGTATTTTAGTATCAGAAGGTTTCAATGGATTTTGCTATCTGTCAAAACTTTTGCCACTTGTTGAAATTTTCGCAATTTTGCCTTTATTAAAAATATTTGGTAAAACATTTTGATGGGTTTTAATTTCAATGTCTATCAAAACCTTCAGGTTTTGCCCAGCAACTTTAGAGTCAACCCAGGTCATTTGACCTAACTCAAAATTTTTTTTGAAATAGTATTATCATTTTTATGATATGAGTTTTAATTCAAAAAAAATCTGCCAGGTCAAGATCATGTAGTTGCTTGACCTAGGTCGACCTGTATGACTCAGATGATCAGATACACTAGACTTTTTATTTTATGTTATGCAACTTTAATTTTTAATAAACTAGAAAACGGAAACTGTTATGAGTCCAGAATGAAAACTTTTATACCATCATATTAAATTTTACTAATTATTTTTATAAAATTACAAATTAAAAATCATTAATAAAAAGATATAAAATAACACAAAGCGTCTTGATATAAACGGCGAACAGTTGATGCAACTATAAAATAAATTAAAAGATATTAGTTACATAATAATTGATGAGAAGAGCATAGTTGATCATCAGATGCTTACTTTAATTGATATGTGGCTCTGGCAGGCTTTTCTTGAAAATAAGAATGAACTATTTGGTGGCAGGTCGATTATTATGTTTGGTAACTTCAGCCAACTTCCACCTGTCCTCGATCTTTCCATGTATGCTGATGCTAAATGAGATTTATTGTCTAATAGTGGTATGGTAGCATACAAACAGTTCAAAGAGGTTTATAAACTTGAAATTGCATAGCTTCAATCAGAAAATTCTAAAGAGTAACAGGACTTTAGAAATATTCTCCTAAGATTGCATAATGAAGAATCAACTATAGATGATTGAAAAACTCTTACCATGTGAATTGAAGACAAGCAAAGTACAGTAGAATGTAACAGATTCTCTGATGCTCTGTTCATTTTAACGAAGTCAATGCAGTAAATATAGATCAATTTCAATTTTTAGATATACCTGTTGCTAAGATCCAAGCTGTATATACAGGCAGAAAAGAGGCTAAGAATGCTGACTCAGATACAGCACATAGTCTCGAAGCATATATATTGCTAGCAAAAGGTGCACGAATCATGTTAATGGCAAATCTATAGACAGAAACTGGACTAATCAATGGTTTTATAAAGACTGTCTAAGATATAATATTCAAAGAAAATCAAGATCCAACTTCTCTTCCTATTGTAGTTTTGATCTCTTTTGATAATTATAAAGGCTCTATCATTGCTAGTTTAGAGGATAAAAGAGTTATACCAATTACACTAATTAGATATATCTGAAATAGTATATCTGGGACTCTTTGTTTATGCTTGCAAATTCTAGTATATCTTGCGTGGGTAATCATGATATATAAAAGTTAGGGTCTTACATTACAAAAGGCTATAATAGACCTAGATGATAAAGAGTTTAGTGCAGGTCTTTCTTTTGTGATAGTGTCTTGAGTACGTGCTCTTAAAGATCTTTTATTTAAACTGTTCAATTTCGATAGACTTCAGCATATTAAAGACTGCAAAAGATTAAAAGAAAGATTAGATGAAGAGAAACGATTGGTTTCTATGATATTAGGAAATAGAATGTTATGTTAATGGTAAATCTAATAATAAAAAAAATGAAACAGAAAATATTTTCAATACAAAATCATTATTATTATATTTAGCGCTCTAAAATACATATATTGTTTTATTTCTATGAAATCTATGAAATCTAACTAATATTTCTAATTCTCTAATTCTTTCTTTTTTTTTTTTTTTTTAAAAAAAATTTTCTTTTTCCGCATTTAGCATTATTGCATTAGAGATGTAATACTGTAACATATGCAGATAAGTATATTTTTTGTTTATCACTTATTATTTTTTTTTATTATTGATGTAAACACAAATCAATTAACATGAAGTGTATGGACAAACAGACTTTGTCACGTAATCTTATATGTCATTAAGGTTCATAAATATATATAGTCCTCCACTTTACTCTGGACTAAAAAATAATAAAAAATAACCTACTGAAGTTATAGTAAAACTTTTCTAGAAAACAAAAAGCATTGCGAAATGAACAATAACAGTTAAAATAAAAAATTATTAAACATTAACTTATACATTTTTTTATAAATCAACAATTGTTCTAATAGAATGAGTTTTTTCTAACAGAACTGACCAAAAGTGTAATCTTAAAGCTAATACAATTTTCCTATATGTACTTAAAATTCTGATAAAAAAAGAAATTTGAATTAATGCTCACAAAAAAAAAATAATAAATTTAAAAATAAACTTTATATAATTTTTGACATTAAAAAATACCTTGAAAATTTGAGTAGAATCTAAGTTAAACAATGATCAAGTCAAATCAAATTCAGATTCTGTAATTATTAATATGTTGAGTTCGAATATGCCTTAAACCTGACCTGACTCAATACTTACGAAGTACTACTAGTAACAATAAAATTAATTGTACTTGTAACAATTTTGTAATATTAAAAAAAATGAATTTAAAATAAAATCTTTCATATATCATATCCTAGATTTTTTACTAGCCAAAATAATAACCATACTTAGCGATGATAAAGTCACCGTATACTAACCTAATCTAGTTCTAATACTAATTAGCATTACTAATTACAGATATTTGCTAACTCTTTTTCTATCATTATTTTTATAAGTGTATCTTATTAATTACTTCTATTTCCTCTTTCTTCTCCTGAACTTCTTTTTTCTCTCCTTCTAAATTTCTATTTTCTTCAGTAAGTATTATAGAGTCTTTTTCTAATCGATTTAAAAAGGATTTAACATTTGTCTCAATTTCTTTCTTATAGTAATCTACCTATATTCTAAATGTGTAAGGTAACCCAATGATAAACATGGTCATAAATTAATATTTCACTATCATATATATGATTATTTACAATAAGTGATTTATTACATAATTCACAATTATTTGGTGAAGGCGAATGTATTGTATTAAATTCAGTTGGTAAGCATTTAACATTAATAATATCATCAAGAGCAACTAGTTTGTAAAAAGAATAGTGCCTTTGTTTAACAATATAGCTTTGACTTTATGTGATAAATACTTTTTAAAAATATTGAAGTAGAAATACTGTTGTTTTTGTGGTAAAATAATTTAGAGTTGAGGGTATATATGGATATAATTTTGTTTTAGAAAAATTATTTTTTAAT